GTTCATGAAGTGATTTAAAAGTTACAGTTAAAAAACTGTCTAAAACTAGAATAAAATAAATTCTACAGTTACTTATCGTTCTGGGTGGTATTTTATTTAGTTCATTAGGAACCATGATAAAACATATTTCATACTTTTTAAGTATTAACTTTTTTTATTCCTTCACGTTCCCTTCAAGCTAGAGGCTTGAAGTTTCTGTAGCAGTGTTTATTGGGGTTGCTAGCCACATGCCCAACCTTTCCTCTTTACCAGCTTTATTTCTGGCTTAGCGAGGTAAAGGAGTGCGTCGGTGGCCGGGGATCGAACCCCGGACCATGTGCATGGTCGATGAGCGTCCTAACCGCTGAGCCACTGACGCACAAAGTATTAACTTACAAGCATTCAATTGACTTAAAGTTAGTTCATGATTGCCGTACCCTACTAGGTATTTGCTTCATCCTAGTCTAAGACTTTTAACGACTGCGTAGCCTTAACTCCAGCAGGAATAGGAAAGCAGGGGCTTCAGAGTAAGACGTGAGCTCGTCGAACATTATTCAACTCCTGTGAAAGTATCGAATGAATTACAAATTCCGACTTCCGTCGATTCCAGATACTTGGCACTATTACCATGTAACTTCATAGGCGAATTAGTGGACCTTAGAATTCGAAGATTCTTTCTAGGATCTCAGGAATTCCATCTTGTAGTTGTGATATTACAAGTGGGTATTAGATTGCTTTATAAGTGTTGATTTGTAGAGATTCAATCGACTTCAACTTGGATCACAAAACTCTTGAGTTCGAATTTCAATAAAGTTTGTGAATGGGCGTCTCAAATAAGTGTGGAATAATTGTCTACTGCTCACTGGTTTTTGATGACTCTTTAACTGATGTGTGTTCATAATCCATTTCGATATACTTCATGACCTGATGATATTAGATGAGAAGAGATAATCGGCCACAGGAAGCCTTGGACCTAGGTTTTGTGCTAGTTGGCACTCACTAGTCAGGAAGGCGTATCTGCAACCTTGAAGGAACTCATGTCCTACTTCTGAGATTCGAACTCACGTCACCCAGTGAGTACTGCAGTCAGCAATGTTGCCATCTAAAATCCTCAAATCAATGTGCATCGTGATGGCGAGCCACCTATAATGTTGGCCATATTGTAAACCTGACCGATAGAATTCAGTCTGCACCAAAGAGAGGACTAGACACATCACACTAGTTACTAGTGTCAAATCAAAATATACTTCATAACTTTTATAAATCTAGAATTCTCTCTCTAAATAAATTTAAGCTATTCCTAACTTCTATTGAAAGTGAGTAAAGAAGTACAATGAATAGTGAAATTGAAATCTATATAGAGATCTCTATAAATAATTGCTGTTGCAGCCTGTTTCATTATCGTATTAGGTATAAACACTATTTTGCTTTTCTTTTTTCTAATGTGTTAACATGTTCTGTTTAAATTAATGAAATGAGAAAAGTGTACAATGTTCACCGTCTGTTAAAAAAATAAATAAAACTTGAGCTATACATTAACAGAGTTAAGTGTTAACGTGTTATCCCAGTTTAAAAATCATTATTTCCGAGATTAGACGATAGATTGTAGGTTTCCTGAAATAATTCTCCCACAAAACATTAAAGAAAAGCTGTTAGTGTCTGAATATACACACTAATGTTACAGATGAATTAATTCATTTGAAAGGCATTTACATTCAGATGTTTTGAGTGACGTAAGAATCTGAATAGTCAGAATTCAAATTGTGGGAATTAACAATCAAGAAATCAGAGAGAAAAGGATAAGAGGTTTAGCAGAGTAAATGCAAAAGGTAGTGTAGCTAAGCTTATTTTTCCTTCCTCCCTAATGTCTTAATTGGTATTTCCCATGATTTGAAAGAGTTCAAGGTTTTCTCGGTAGTGAAGGAAGTTGGTGACCTGCTTAAATCACTGGGTGACCAGAATTTTCATCCATCAAAATGCTCAAACTCTTCTGCATTTCTTATTGTTTTATTCAGGCAGTTGTATCAAGTGATCACTACATGAGCTCTTGCTCATATTTAATTAGCTTCCAAATAAACGCGTGCAATTCTCAGAGGAAATAAAGAAAAAATGTACAGAATCGGTTCCGTCGTCATATGCAACAAAGCTACGTCAAATGATACACTTCAAATTATTAATTTACACGTAATGAATAGGAAATGGTTCGGAACTGAAGACGCTGAAAATTTCTGTACTGTGTGTTCACATATTGTCTGAAATATAGCTTTATTATTATTATTTCAACTCAGTGGGATTCTGCGGTACTTTATAAAACTTGCTGAAGTAAATTGCTCATAACCCTTAATTTCCATCTCAATTGATCTTCTGTGAGTCATCTGCAGAAATCCAACTTGTTGTTTCTTATTCATCTCCCACTCTAGTTTCTGGCCTGCGTGTGATATCAGTGCATGTTTTCCTCGGTGTGTGTTCAATCTATTTCCATTTCGTTCTGTATGTTTCTTGACCAGTAGGTTCTTGAATGGTTCACTGCTTGCCAGAGGTTCTTCTTACTAATCCTTCCTGGCCGGCTGTCTAATCTTCAGTATGGATTGTAGGCCTACTGCGGGCTGTTAGATATGCTTTCGGTGATGCACTAAATCACTCACTTGATATCCATGTTGAAAATCTGGATCTTGTTCCATATGTTGACTGCAGTGCATTTCCAAACCAGTTTCAGATGATTAAAGGCCTCTGTCGTCATTTCGGATCCTTCCTTTGATATCCTTATCTATACTGCCTGTATTTGAAAGGATGCTTTCTCGGTGAGTGAAGAGTTGGTTACCTTCAAACCTCTCCTGTTGACAGTAATTGGTGATTGAGAAACCTACTTAGACGCCCTACTAGAATGCTGCTTACATTATATTTCAATAAGTGTTTTCATATCATTTCGGTTTTCGTGCTCGATCTTTTGAACGGTTTGAAACCGAAATAAAACGCATGGTTATTACTCTTCAAATCTTATCCATTCTTGCATCTGATGTCAGTATTTGATAATATCTACCTCAAAAGAATCTTGGATGTAAAAATAATATTCAAATTATATTCTCACCTATCAGTTCCTATTTTTTTAACATGGAAAAATTGTGGAAGAAAGCACTATTTAAAGAACTCATAAATTTTGGTAGACCTCCGTATCCGAATACTTTCTTTACATGACTGTTTATTTAATTCAGTTTAGATTTTCCCATCGATTCGCTGGACCGAAGTGCTCAGTCTCAGGTTGACATATCCGTTACTTGTGTAGATGCTTCGACGAGGTCTGGTCATATAACTAGAAGTCAGTCGGTGGATGGTGACTAGCACTGGAATCCACGATTCTCATTTCGTTCTATTTTGGACTTGTCCCCTGTATGTACTTGCATTCCCAGGTCCAGTGAGTCATTGATGGTGTTGCCACTGAGGCTCGAGCCCAGTGCCCATAGTTTCCAACACCAAGGCGTTATCCACTAGACCACTTTGGCCACGTGCGCCACCTCTCGTGCAAGCTCTTTTGACAGTTTATGCTAGTTCTTTTAAGGTTGACATAAATAAAAAAGCATTGATATGGCAACAGTAAATATCACTTTCAACGAATATGTGTTCGTTGAGATGTTCCCGATTTAATTCCACACATTTTGAGTGAAACATCAGAGTTGAAGCTCTAAAGTTTTTGCAGAGTTGTGTTTCTTAAATGGGTTGGGGTTGCTGACTCCACCAACCTCCCCCCCTCCTGGACCTAAAACTGGAAAGCGGAGTCTCAGATCGCATCTATGGAATCAAACCCACCGGTACCATGTGGCTGGCGATCATTTTACAACTGAAACACTAACACACTTTAGGTTCACCATGAATAATTTTCTTGCTCAGGTGATAAAGGTCTTGTTTTTCATGTGCGCAACCAAATTATATTCAATTCGCCAAATTTCTTTGAAACTTATTTTCTTCGAATTTTATTTCTTACTGTGATTATGACCGGAGTGAGATATTTAAAAGTTTATAAGTACTGGTTTTTGTAGGGATTTGGTTTGATTGGATGGAGGATTTCATCAAGAGCTGACATCAGTTAGAGGACCATTGGAAAACCAACTGGGAGTATAGGACAGCTGTTCCGTCAGCCTAGTTCGTGACTCTTCATCAGTACACACCCACCGGGGTTCGAATTCAGGACCCTCTGGTTACAAGGCAAGCTTGTTGACCGATGTCAGCTCATGATGAAATCCTGCATCCAATCAAACTTAATCCCTACATAAACTAACACTTGAAAATTCATCTAATGCTCTCTAACGACTTGCCCTATTCAAGCAGTGACCTGGAATTCTAGAAAGAAGCCGTGACGAGTAGGGTACAGCAGGTTGAGAGTGAGGACAGCTGCTCACCAAAGAAGTGGTCACAATCTGTCGTGAATTGGCAGGAGTTAGAACTCATGGGCTGGCCATTGGATTGGGTTCCAGTGGCTCAATAGTCTACGTGCTCACCGCTCTTTTAACCAGAAGGTCCTGTGTTTGATCTCTGGTGGTGGGTGCGTACTGATGAAGAGTCACAAACTATGCTACGAAACAGCAGTCCAGTACTTCCAGCAGGTTTTCCAATGGTTCTCTAACCGACGTCAGCTCATGATGAAATCCTCCATTCAATTTAAAAGTTTGCTGAATGAAGACGTATACAAATGGTATGATATTAAAACGGAGTTTCAGTGTTTTTGTTGGTTGTTGTCTAAATTGACTTCATGACAAGATAATGTAGCCAACTGATCACTTGGAAATATTTCCTCACATTGAGATAGACAAAGAAGTCAGGTTTATCTGCAATCACCACGACAAAAACAACGTTTATTCTTCATAATACGGAGTATATACATCGTTTACACATCAACGGAAATTCAAACCATAAACAGGTAATTAGTGTCTAATTGATTACTCTAACCATCTTACATCTTTTATTATCCTCATTTTTCAAACATTAATTCATCATATTACTTTTGACTTTTCTTTTTTGTATTTTAGGTTTATGCCATTGATAATGGTCAACCGAGTTTATCAGGTTCTACACATGTAGAAGTTGCACTAATCGATATAAACGATTGCAGACCAATATTTACACAGATTAATTATCATTTTTCTATTGATGAAGAGTTGAAGGTCAATGCCTCTGAACCAATTGTAATCGGTCAAGTAAAAGCTACAGACTGTGATATTGGATTGAATGCACATTTGGTGTATTCACTAGATCCTGCAAGTTATTCAGCTGATAATCCATTTGAGGTTAGTGATTATGTTTCAGTATTCTGTTTGAAATTTTTAAAAAAGCTCAGAAATAACACAATTTAAACATAATCCCACAAAAATTTACAAAAGGAAAAAGGAAGGGTATGATTCAAGTATGAATATCAATATGATATTCATAGTTTGGAGAAAAAGGTTCAGAATAAAACAGTATTTGGTCCCTCAGAGGTTGAATAATTACCATTTCTTAATATCCTGAATACAACAGTCAAGAAACTCATAGTTTGCATTGTAATTCATTAGCTTAGTAGCTTTATGGCTTACCTTTCTATTTTAACATAGAATTATGATCATTCTTTTGGGTTCCAAGGGGAACGTAAAGATTTATTAGGATATTGCTGTTACACTGTTTGCTGGGGTCTTGTTTAGCTGGCTCCATGACAGCTCACAGATTCCCATCCGTCCTTCACATGATATTGTCTACATAACACTCAGACCCACGCCTAATACGTCCGTTCCCATCCCGCCTCTACTCGAGGGTTTACCTGGCGTGTTATGCTACTCAACGGTCTTTCCAGTGTGTTTACCATCCACCTCCATTTTTTGAGCCTATTTGTTGGACAGTGGGTTCTTGGTTGGTTTGTTGTTGCTAATTCCTTACAGCCGGCCATCTGATCTTCACTAAGGGCGAAGCCAGCTGTTGATAAAGTCTAAGTAAGGCTGTTGAAAATGGAGTTGCGCGTGCCACATCGCTGAATCATATAGGAGAACTGACTTGAAATTAATGTTTAAGATTTGAATATTGTTCATTATGCTGGGTGCAGTAGATTTCTACACTGATTTCAGACTAGTGAAAATCAGCCTTGCTTTCCTGATCCTGGCTTTGACATCTTCATCCGTGCTGCTCTTAACTGAGACAGGCTGATCGCTAGAATTCGTCGTCCCTTATCCTTCCTGATCAACCATCCGATCTTCACTAGTAAGGTAAGGCATCTATTGATAAAAATAAACTGCAGGCTGTTAGAAATGCACTCAATGACACATGCAACATGTCTGTTAATCATATAGAAGCAGTGGCTTGAAACTGGTGTTAAAAATTCCGACCTTGTTGCTCATAATGAATGCGGTAGATTCCCACACTGATTTCAGGGTTATGAAGGTCTGTTTTGCCTATTCTATCCTGTCTAGTCTAGGCATCCTCATCCGTTTACTCACCAGTAGTCGAAACACTGCTGTCTATGTATGCGGGTGATGCTTGTTGGTGTTGTTGGTTGGGTATCTGCACCATCACTTTCTTCTATATGTTTACTGGAAGTCCTGTCTTCACTGCCTGCCTTTTCTGCCGAATCGCTGGCAGAAAAAATTCTAATCAGAGAATAAACAGACCAGTTGTCTCAAAAGCTGTATTGAAGGTGGTGATCATAAACGTCTGAGTCATTAAAAGACTCATCTAAGAACGTACTTTTTTGATTACAGCTTGATTCCACACTGTATTTTTGGTACAAGCATGGAATTTTCAGCATGTGATATTGGTAGCCCAAATTTTGCAGGTCGACCATAGATATCAGGTGTGCGTCGTCAGGGGATCGAACCTCAGACCATGTGCATGGTCGGTGAGAGTCCTAACCACTGTGCCACGGACGCACATGAGGATGTGTATTTTCTAGTCTAAAAATAACTTTAAAAGTGACTCAGATGGGATTTCCCCCAGTCAGATTTCGGACATAGTTAAGTATTTGAGTGAACTGAATCGTCTGCTTTTAATGGCTGTCAGGCGGAAGTTGAACATCAGTCATCCTCGTTAGTTAACCTTCCTATAATTAATTAGTAGATGACTTCAAGAACTTCAACAGATGCTTTGTTTTTCAAGGGAATCAAACCGGCGTAACTCAGGGCCCCATCTATAAATTTTAAGTTCATGGTATTCGAACTTAAAATGTTGGGCGAAAATACTTGGCTTTCTCAAATCACTCACCCCCCTATTTATGTCCCATTGTACGGCTTTAAACGGTTAGTTAAGATTGTTATTTACAGAAATGTTTATATTCCACTTGTATTACAGGTAACTGAGGATGGTCATATAACTGCATTAAAATCTATTGATCGTGAACTGCATCCAGCTTTCTTACTTCAAGTGATAGCTACTGATTCACCACAGAAACCAACAGAAAAGCTGACGGCAACAGCTCAAATTCATATCACTATTTTAGATAATAATGATAATGAACCAGTATTTCAGAGGCCACCATTCGATAATGGAACTAATGAGGTAATTTGTTAACTCTTTTATTGCTTTAAGCTTTGTACCAGTTTTCTTTAGAAAAATGTGAGCCTTTTGTTGTAGGACTTCTGTTGACAAAAGGTGCAATTATTAAATTATAAAGTATACCAGTGTTAATCATTCTTTCAATGCAGCTGTTTGAAATGTGATAGTGGAAGAGTTTGTAGGTGGTTAGCTGTACTTAAGGTAGATCTTGACTAACCACACTTACCAAAGACTTCTCCTCTTACTACCCTAATCAGTGCTCTACCTAAGGTGTAAGTACTGATTAACGAACTCGAAGTAAGAAGGCTTGTGACTTGGTAATGTGCCCTGATGAGAACTATATTTTTACCACAGACTGAATGTCAAATTTAATAAATAAGAATGCTGTACAACTTATCTGTTAAATGGCTGGGGTAGTAAGCTCAAGAGTACGCTTAATGATAGCACAACGATGGAGCAAGCCACGTCTAAGTAGTCAGATTTGAAAAACGCAGATAAATTGGCGCCATAGTACATGAATGCGTTAAAACAAAAGTTCAAGCACTGAAGGTGCACTACAAGCTTTTCTTTCTTTCAAATCACACTAGTGCAGGGCTTCATTGACACATACAGCATTGTAATTTTAATTCAGTTGAACTTCAGTGAATTTGGTTTAAGAATACCGCAGGAAGATGTGGATTCTATCAGTGATGGAGTGGAAACTCCTATCAGGAATCCATCTGTGTCATGGAATAAAACACTTTTCGACTGAAATTAGTTAACACTACCAATTATATCTGCAAAGAAATGGCAGTGATTCAACCTTGTTAGGACCTGTCTTCATTTCTCAACTGACTCATTATTCCAAACCATTTATGAAGTGAAAAGAAGAAAGTAAGCTATCGACTTCCTTATACTGCAATTATTAATGATTTGTGTATGCAGAAGTCAGAATTATGCATTGAAAAGGAGCTCGTTTGACTCCGGTTTCCGTATTTCTACTTTTATTTTACATTCATGTCCTTAGAATTTTGTCTTTCCATCTTGAGTTGCAAAACATCATTTCATTCCATTTCTATGGGTGCATTGATCCCACCTTATTTATTAAATGTTTAACACTTTCAGTGGTTTCAATGTAGATGCCGTCAGAAACCGACATCAGTTAAAGATCCTTGTTAACCAGAGAGAGTGTGAATCTGCTTCTTCCTAGTCTGACAGTTTTCTGCACTATGTATCAACACCCCTATCGGTGATCAAACCTGGGCCCTTCAGGTTAAGTGACCATTCAGCCGCTTGGTGTAGTACTCAATGATCAGCAGGCTTTGTCATGTCATCTGTAGGTCCCCAGTTCGGTTTCTGGTGGGCTCGTGGGGTGCACGCTTCTGAAGAGTCACTAACTAGCATGAAACAGAGCTTTACACCGCTCCCTGAATTTCACTGGTTCAGGACGAATTCTACTTTGAAATTAATCCAAACCCCCTACAAAATCTGTATAATCTAAAAACTCAAAGGTACATACATTTCTTCCAAGGCATAAGCACACTGAATAATCTACGCAATAAAATCTGCACAGAATATTTTGATTTCCTTTAAAATACTGATAACATATGTCAGAAGTTACAAAGAAGCTCAAAGACTAAGTGTATTAAGACTTAATGCCTACCATCTTCAATCCACTAACATTAAACATAGCATAGATTAACGTCAAACTGCTTAGTGTACCTACCATTAGTGACTTTATATCGCACAAAGAACTATTTATTGCTTTGCGCTATGCAAACAATATCCGATTAGAAGTACCCAAAAACAAGGACTCATGAGGTGGATAGGTGTAGTTATCTTTTTTCAGAATGCTTATTCATTCTAGTGAACAGAGTTTATTGATTCATTTGCAAAGCTTTCCATTTAACAATTTATTTACATATGTATCCTTATATGGGATTGTTAGGTGGAAATATCATACAACGATGTACCCGGACATTTGGTAACACGAATCGAGGCTACAGATAAAGATGTAGGAGTAAATGGAAAGATAAAATTTTCATTTGATCAAAATAATTCAACAAATGACCTGTTCATTATACGACAAAACAGTGGTGAGATTTTTCTACAGAAAGAATTAACTATTAAAGATATGGTAAGTTGATACCTTTTATTGTCACTATAATCGTTGTTTATTCAATGTCAAAAGTGTACAGTCAGTTTGTAGTTTTATTTTTGTAGTTATCTAAAGAATGATTAACCGCTACATAATATTAGTCAAATCAAACCATGCGTCGATGAATAAAAATATAAATGACGTTTGAAGGAAAATCGATGGGGATAATTAGACTTTTCTTCTAAAATCAAGCTACCAACATATTCAGCGTATTTTAGGTGTCAGTTTTGTTAAGAAGAACAGAAACAGCGTAGCTGCTGATAATAGTTTGACATTCTTATTCTACTGAAGAAACCGAATTTGTACAAGTTACTGTGTACAGAGTTTTTTTCATTGGACACTAGTAACTGATGGAACGTGTCTAGTCCTTTCTTTGGTGCAGACTGAATTCTGTCAGTCAGGTTCGCAATGTAGGCCACTTTTCTAGGTAGCTCGCCATCACGGTGCACATTGATTTGATGGTATTAGATAGTTGGAGGCAGTCGGCAGGAAGCATTGGACCTAGGTTTTGTGCTAGTTGGCACTCACCAGTCAGCAAGGTTTATCTGCAACCTTGAAGGAACTCCTGTCCCTTCTTCTGAGATTCGAACCCGCATCACCCAGTGCTTCAGTCAGAGATGTTACCACTGAGCCGTTTGGGCTTAGTGGTGATGGCGAGTTACCCAGAAGGGTGGCCACATTGCAAACCTGACTGATAGAACTCAGTCTGTGCCAAAGGACGGACTAGACACGTCACACTAGTTACTAGTGTCCAATGAAAATACCCACTACACTCCTACAGGAGGTCAATTGTGAGCCTGAATAACACAGTGGTAACGTCTCTGACTTCAGCACTGGGTGACGCGGGTTCTAATCTCAGAAGTAGGGACAGGATTTCCTTCAAGGTTGCAGATACACCTTGCTGACGAGTGCCAACTAGCACGAAACCTAGGTCCAAGGCTTCCTATCGACTGCCTCCAACTATCTAATATCAACAGAGTTTTTTGCCTATCTTAGGATCAGACACCTAGATCAACTTCCATTAGTAAAAAATACCATAGTCCTGCAATCGGTAGGCTATTATCCAGTTGGTATGTGTTTGTATGCTATGATTCTGTAACTATATTTAAAGCAATGGTTCGCAGATATGCTTTGCTGATGCTTGCCAATAGGCATGGTTGAGTAGAGATTTCTGTCGTCTACTTCTTAGCATTCTATGAGCAAACTTCATCATGATTCCGTATTTAGTTGCAAAAAACTGTTTATGCATCTTTACTGTAAGTACTTTCTGTAGACATTTAAATATATGGAAAGAAGTATTTTAGAAACTAAAACAGTCTTTGCAATTTTATATACTGCTATCAATAATTGAAGTCGTCAAAATGCGTCAGAATGAGAAAGAAACATGGATGGTTGAATAAGTGGTCGAAATTATTCCCTAAGAAGTGAAGTAATTCCTCACTCAGACTGTTCGAAAATGAATAACTTCTTATCAGAAATTAGTTAGTGATCCCTGTCAAATTGTTTTAAACTAAATCCCTTCAAATATCAGTTGTTTAACTTTACTTTTAAAAGCAAACTTGATTTACATGAATTAGTTCTTTTCCATGCTTCTAAAGTATCATAGAATGTACTGAAGTTGAAATTAAGTCGAATGTTACATACTTTGGATCGTTCATGGTCTTTCCACTTCTTGAAAGACTTTTCGTCTACTATTCTACATAAGGAAGTTAAGACAATCTGGTATCACTCAGTCTCTACTTCTACAGTTTGTTAATTCTTGTATTCTATCTATCCTTCTTTATTGCTTCACCTTAATCTTTTCTGGGATACCTTAGAAAGACTTTGCAACATTGAGAAGAGCACTAAAAGGTGTCAGTACAGTGTGTGGTATATCAGTAAACCAACTCGTTGATACTACTGTGGATAAATACTTGAACTGATGCAAGAAACTAGCGAATTCCATCTTTTCGGACTGTCAGCCTTCTCTTTATACACAACTGTCCGCTAACACCTTACTAGATAGGACTAGAAACAATGATAAAGGACTTTACGCTCGGACGATTAAGTATAAAAACTCACTGACACCTTATTATCAATGCCCTGTTAAGTACTTTCCCCCCATACTATGTAGTGTAAAAAGAAATTAGATGTTTTCAAGTATTGGTTTTGTAGGAGTTGTGTTTGATTGGTTGGAGGATTTCATCACGAGCTGACACTGGTTAGAGAACCATTGGAAAACTTGGAAGTACTGGACAGCTGTTTCGTCCTAGCTTGAGACTCTTCATCAGTACGCAGTAGACAAACTATTGCATTACGTGCTGGAGATTCTGCATTCTATCAGACATACTATTTGGAATAAAGCTGTTACTATTATTCTTACTAACATCTCCCTCAGTACTATTTCATTAAAGGAATGATATCTTGCCAATATGATGTTTATTCAGTATTTTGCACATTATAGGTAGCCCTTATATTCCACTCGAAAATCATGGGAACAATAATATTATAGGTGTTTTCCTGTTTCTAAATAGTGACTGTGTTAAATGGTTGTGGTGAGGAAGAAAAGCCAAGGACTAATTTTTTTATTTTTCAAAGAAAAAGATTGTTTTTAAATAGGATAACGATTCCCAAATTGTCATATTTGAAGTTAAATATCCTTTAGTTCTCTTCAACGTATTAATATGTAACCAGTAGAATGTAAAACCCTTTTGTTGTTTGTGCTGAGTACTGTAAATAACATCTGGAGTAGTCTTAGTATTAATGCCAACACCTATTGCGATACTGCGATACAAGCACATCTAACTGATGAGCTCCAGGAATGATGAAACGCACCTCACGGACTTCACCATGTTTTTATTCATGATTACTTACCGAATACCTGATTTTCACTTTAATGATATATTTACGCATAATACCACATGCATAATATTTTGAACTCTAATCTTGAAACAGTTTTCTCATATACACTCACAGGACTTTTTAATCCTAACGATTCGATATTATTAGGAAAACGACATTAATGTTGTCGATAACAATGATTTTTTCAACTAATGTGGATATATAATTGACTGTAGAACCTGAAAATGAAGTTATTGAAAAGAAAATATATTTTGCTCACTAATAATAGCAATTAATTGCATGTACATGCTTGAAACCACTAATTCATATTTTATGTTTTCGACGCCTGTTGAAAACTTTTATTTCGTACATTTTTTGACTGTATGTTGTTTATAATGACAAGCGCAGTGGTATGCAGGATGTAGATTTCATCCCTAAGTTTGGTGGGACTCGTCAGCCGGATGTTCCTACCCTATATCCTCAGTGCAATAATAGCTGAAATACTTGATCAGTGAAATTTAGCCAACAGAGGTAGACAGATGTTAAACTTTATCTAGCCAAGTAAAAAGTAGCGATCCAGGTGGTTGCGGGGATGAAGGCGCTAGTAACTATGAAATGGACAAGCAGACTGAGTTACTGAAACCCTGGATATAAGTGTTGAAAGAAGTTTAAGGGTATACAACAGGATATTTGGTTAGTTTTAAGTCAAGTCAAGTAAACACTATGGTGAGGGTAAGGCTAAAGACAGGTTACAGTTAGGTTAACCTGATTCGGGAGATGTTAGGATTTGTTGTGGATAGACTGGAGTTGGAGTTAGCTTTAAGCTACGGTTGATTTACTCAGCAAAATTTGCTTTTTAGCGCGATTGTTCGTTTCAGCGTTTTTTCGGTGAGTTCGTTCCCTTTGGATCACGATCCTCTAATTGTTGTACCCTTTATCTTTACTTTTTCCTTTGATTTAACCCAAATTTATGTATGTTTTGTAAAAGAGAAGAGGTTTTTAAAAAACATTTTCCTACAACTATATATTTCTTTTTGCTACACAGGGAATTGTTCCACTTGTCATTATGGCTACAGATATGGGTGAGAATCCAAAGACATCAACAACTACTATTCATGTGAAAATCTCCGATATCCCATCTACTGCATTTAGATTTAATGCTTTAAAAAACTCAAAATCAATGAATCAGCTATCGAATTCATTATTTAAAAACCTGAATATTGATGCTAACAAATTTATAATTATTTGTATTATACTTGTTACATTTATTATTTGTACTATACTCATTTCTGTTATATTCGCAATATCACGTGGTGGCTGTAGACTATTCACTAAAGCAACGACAACAGTAGCGAAATCCACTCATCATTACAATGATAATCCTATTGGTTATAATGCAGATTTAATTGAGAAGCCACTATCAGAAATGACCAGTCCATTAGATTTGAATAAATCAATAAATTATCCTCCATTCGACTGTGAAGAAATTAATTCCTTCGAGCATAGTGGAACTTCTTATTTACCGCCATTCTATGATCAGACATTATCAGCAGGTACACTGCCGTATACATTTCCTGATACCGGTTTAAGATATTATGATCAAATGTTGACAGATAATGAAAAAATGTTCAACGGGTAAGTCACCAATAAGCGTATATTATCGGATGAAGACTTAAACATTGACTCTGGAGTTTTTTCGAAACGTTAATTTCAGGGATAAAACGAAATTATTTAAATTTACGTCACAATCGAACTTTGGTTAGAGAATCGTTAATGAATCGATCAAGGATTGATATCAATTAGAGAACCATTGAATCGGGTCCCAGTGACTGAATGATATACGAGCTTGCCTTGTAACCGGAAGGTCCTGGGTTCGAATCCCAGTGGGCGCGTACTGCCAATGATTCCCAAACTAGGATGAAACAGCTGTCCAGTACTCCCTGGTTTTCAATGGTTCTCTAATTGATATCAATCCGTGATCAAGTCGTAAAAAACAAATCTAATCCTTACAAAACAAACTATAGAAAATCGGTAATGACCACAGTGATAGCTGTTTTGTTCTATTTTTGAGAAACTTCAGCAGAACACATCGATGAATTCACCTGGGAATCGAGCCCGAAACTTTCAGGTTTTACAGGGCGAGGCTGTTGACCTGTCAGCTGCAAGGGCGAAATCCAACTGCCCATCGATTCTAACCTCTACCGATTCGTGATATCTGGAGCAATAGCCAGTCGATGTCATCGGAGAGAACTATTCATCGCATTGGACCAGATGGACCTCGCTAGTCCTTAATGAGGATTAGATTAATTTACAAGTGTTTTTTGTGTGTATTTGATTGGTTTTAATTTAGATCACAGGCGCAGTCAAACTATCATAGCCGAAACCACGGTGGCCTTGAACAACCAATTAGAATTCATATTTAATTAAAAGTCGTTGCAAACATGATATTAAGCTGGATAATGGTCTCTAGCGTCTTGTAGAAATGTCCATCAGTTTCTGCAAAGATAAATCTCAGAAACATTGTGCCATACCCAGTACATGTATTAACTGAGATGGCTATAAATCATGGTACTTAGGGATCCATGGATATTCCCATTTGTTTTTTTCAACCTCCCCTAAAATCCCTTAGTAGAATTACTGTGAGCACCTGGGATTGAATCCACAGGATCGAAGGAATGGTCGACACGATGGGAAATATAAACCTAAGATAAAAGCTGGTTAGTATCCTCTCGGTTCGTCACTATATATGGTCGTTCCTAGCATTACTAAGCGCTAAATAATTGGAATTAATACTCTGACACTTTTGTTGGGTATTGTTTCCACAAAAATTTGGCGTAGTGAAGTGTTGTATGTCTAAGCAACCACACTTGATTAGTTATTCTCTCTCCCTTATTATACTTTTTCTTTATGTGAACAGTTTCATCAATGTGAGCAATTACACCTACTCCTCCTAAGCAGGTGATAGTCCTGTCTAACTTCCATGATACTGTCTCTACAATCCTTATAGCGTTGCGCTGTAGAGACCAGGTTATTTATGTCTAAGCTGCTGCCATTGAAGGCCTCTGCTAAACTTAACATCACTTGGTAGGATATTTAACAAAAGTAGCTTAGATTTGGAGGAAAAAGTACCTAGGGAATAAGTGAAATAGTGCACTTGCTCTCATTGACCGATTTTCTCTTACAACATGAATTACATCTTGATTTTGACCAGATTTCCGTTAAACCATCACTGGAAACCATGTCCCACTGGGCTTACAGGTGCTTACTGCCGAAGAGTCCCAGTACTCCATGGTTCTCAGTGATTCTCTAACCATAAGTTTGTTCACTATAGAACTTGAAATCAATCGAATCCTTACAGTATGGCACTTGAAAACATGAAATAAGTAAATAGTGGTTGGATTTTAGTGTATTATGACAATAAGCTTCACAATTGTTTGGCGCTAATCTTGAACTATTCATTCCGCCTATCTTTGACCTTGATCTTTAGCATATTTAAACAACTTTTTGGTGAGTACATGGAATGAATACAAAGAATATTTTGTCAACATATACACTAATAGGTTGTTTTAATAAATCCATATGAGGTATATTCTTCTTACTGGTACACAATGAAATGATTTTTGTCTAATTAGTTATTGAAACTATCTAACGAACTCGCATGCATTAAATTCTTAGATGAATAAACTTCAATGACAGTATATACACATGAAAGTGTTTAATACAATTGATACAGAAATATCTATGCTTATAAATTTGATAATGTCGCCGTCCTTAAGTTTGGCGTCATTTTTCGGTGTCGCCAAATGTATTTAAATAAGTCGAACAATAGGATATTTTTGTATATATATATATATATGTATATCTTGAAACAGTTGCTTTCTTTTGGATATATGTAAACGATTTGTTTTAGTGATTGACATAAAAAAGGCCTTGAATTACTCACAATAGACAAGATTGCGTGTGACATCCAATAACTGTTTAGCTATTTAGACAGAAATGCGTGTGACACCCGTAGAGTTGTAGAATAATAACCACTGGCTAAGACTGAGGGCTCTTGATGAATCGTCAATGCAGAATGAAGTCAGTTCAGTTTAAATTAGTACTTTTAACTTTTGTTAACTCTTAGAGATAAGGCTTTTCAGGGTTAAAACGATATCATCATTTTATTTCATAGGTTCTCACCAAATTAACACTACTTGAAATTGCAACAGTTATAGAAGAATGGAAATAACAAGCTTTAAATAGTGGAACGGTAGCTTAGAAATTATCATATGTTAGGAAATTTAAAAAGGTAAACGTCATGGTTCGTAGCTCGTGTTACTGTGAATCTACATGCACTATAAGGTAGAAAGGGTGTTTAGGAAGAGAAGAATTGTTAGCTCTAAAGGTTTTATAATCATTGTTCCAAATCAGAGGAAGCGTTAGAGGCTTCACCATCAGATGGAACTATTTAGCCTAATTTATTGTCCTTGTCTCACTCGTGAACAACAGATCACTACTAATCTTTGGAATGAGAAAAGCATATCAACTATCATACAGCCATTTTTCATAAATTGCATATAGTTTCTTCGTCTAATTAATTTGAACAAAGGAAGAACAATAAATCGACAAGGATAACATGACATCACTTTATTCCACGGATTTTTATCCCCAACAAAGAACTTGGAAACTTTCAATATCAGTATGCAGAATATTCACATACTTCAGGTATTTAGAAAGTGGCAAGAATTAATACACGATGATTTGAAAGAAAAGAACTACAGGTGTTATTAAGCTCGTTGGTATACATATACAGAGAAAATTCTACAAGAATATTCTATAGTCAAAAAGGCAAATTAGGCATCAAATATGGTTGTACAAAAATAAGTAGCACGTGTTACGCAAGATCCATAATTCCTGATGATATAAAAGGATTAAATTAATAATATTAAATTTTTTGCATAAGTCAAATATCTAGGTCAAGAGTGTGGTTAAAGACAACAAGGAATTATTCGTACAACCTATCATCACCTGGTAGATATTAGCTATAAAATCAATATTTTAAAATGATTTAAGGTAATTAAACGGCATAATTTAGTTCCAGTCTATATTGTATCATTGAAGTGAAAGTAATGAAACGGTTGAAGTCCAAATTAAGTTTTTTTCAGAAAAAAAGACGTTTGTCCGTCGTTTTCTACATCTTAATCTACTTTGTATCTCCATCCACACTCTTGGTTTGAGTTTTTAACCTGGACTCAACTTATTATCAATATTTCAATCAATTGGCATCAAAGAAACCTGGAACTCTTACGTAAAATGTGCTACCTATTTTTCTAAATTTCAAATGTCTAACTATCATTCTTGACTCCAGAATATTCTCGTAACACTATATATATATGTAAAGAGGGAGCGTAGGGCTTTGGAGCAGCAACCCTACCCCACAATACCAGTCACACTGCTATAAAAATTTCAATGCAAAATAAAAATTCTAAAAATACAAAAAACTTCAAATAATAATCTTATTCTTCGCCCTAATCGGTGACAAGAAATGACGCAGCAGGCTGGTGAAAGCCTTCGGGATGTCTCTTGATGTCTCTTCCCTAAATGAAATCAAGAGTAAAAATGGGTCTATGGAGTGTACGTACAATTTGCGAGGCTGGGAAGGCTTTCCAGGTAATCGAAAAAAATGAGAACAACGGAAAACTCAACGAGGCGTTCGAAGTGAATACAGGAGTAAGACAGGAGTGCCTGCCTATTATCACCGACGCTATTTCTAATTGTGATGGACTGGATAATGAGCCAAACTGTGCATGGGAGAGAGAAGACAGGAACACGCTGCAGCACAAATAAGAAGACTATAGAAGATCTGGATTTCGTAGGTGGACGATTTATATTTAATGTTACACAAACTTCAAGACTCACAGGCGAAAACCAACAAGAGGGCGGAAGAAGCAGCGAAAACAGGACTCCAGGTGAACATGAAGAAGGTAGAGACGGAGGTGATGAAGGTAACCAACAAAGAGCAGCAACAGAAACAACAACCAGCAACAATCACCATCAGCGGGAGAGATTTAACAGAGGTTACTTCCTTCACTTATCTAGGCAGCCAAAATAGTTTCAACCACAGATATTCGGAATGGATGAAGATGTCAAAGCTAGCCAGCTAGAATCGAAGGTCAAGATGCGCCTTTATCAACCTCAAACCAGTTTGGAAATCTTCTCAGCATAAGGAACAAGATCCAGATTTTCAGCACATATGTGAAGTCAGTCACTTTTTCTGTGTGGGCCAGAAACTTGGCCAGCGGGTTCACGAAAACGATTTCCGACAGGCTTCCCCAGACTTATACAAATAACTGTCTTCACCGGACCCATATTGGGTATCAGATGGTCAGCCAGAAAAAATTAGCAACAAAAAGCTCTGACTGGGGACAAACCAACCATGAAGAGATTGTTCAACAAGTATTCAGGAGTAAATGGAGTCATATTGGGCATATGTTGAGGAGGCCATCGAATGAAATCGCGTGCGATGCAGGCCACCGTCCCAGTGGAATCCCAATGGGAAATGATGAGTGGGCCGTTGGTGCGGGGGTGACATGGAGGACATCGTATGGCGAGGAGATGAGAGATCATGGACTTTTGTAGACTCAAGTGAAGAGAACAGCAGCAAATAGAAGAAAGTGGGAATGTGTTGCTGAAACCCTCTGTTCCACTCGGAACCCAAAGGAATAATAATAGTGTCAGTCAAATAAATCATGGGGAATATTTTGGAAAGATTCAAAAAGGTACTCAGTTGTTCACTTCTGTAAATAAGTCAAATAAGTGTTGAACTCCTTACTTTGTTGAAGTTCAACAGACAGCAGATTAAAAGGCAAGTAAAGTCTTGAGCTTCTTTTTCTGTTGTTATCAGCTTTAACTATCACAAAAACTGGTATATTTCAAGAAAGGCTAGACGATAGATATAGAGTTTTTATTGGAGTTTATGCATTAGATGGCAAGAGATCTGAAGCTCTTAAAAATATATTCCATTGTTTTGTGTGTTACACAATACAAGTTAGTCAGCATGAAATCTTATCCCTACGCTATTTATCAGAGAACAAAATAATTTCTAAAACAACTAGACATATGGGTTAAGTCAAAGAGTAGTGTGATCCGGGAGTGCGAATGAGTCAGTGACTTAGAATGCAACCACTGTGAGTTGGCTCACTTGACCTACTATTCTCAGTGGGAATACCCCCTGCTTTCCACAAACTCAGAGATAGATTTTATCCGGATAGTGCTTACCAGGGCTACTTGTATGTTGGATTAGTGAGACGCAGATAGATAGGATATACTCTGAGTAGATCGTTGAGTGACGCCAATTGACAGGCCCTCGAGGGGTAGCCAAATTGGAAAAGAGGAGTTAGGAGTCCGAGGGTGGCATGGAGGAGCTTTAGGACAATCGTGGAGCCAGTTAAAGACGATTGTAGGAAATACGATGAAATGGAGGCGTGCTGCTGGAGCCTTATGTTTTTCTTGTAACTTAAGAGAATAATTATAGGGACGGACATTTGAATGATTTTGAAGAGGTTTAGTGTACGTCTGATGGTATTGAGCATCTATTGACTGGAATATATTTAGTTGTATAGTTCGTGGGACGGGAATCAGTGTTCGATATGGTATGTCAATTAATTCACTAACTTTTTAGTAGCTTTTTTCAAATCGATAAAATCGCCGTCATATATACTACTTATTTGCCGTTACTGGTCAGTTAAAAGAGAATTGAGATTTACGGCTGCACAGACAGAGGACTTGTTTGAATCAACTGTGTAGTAGTATCAACACTGTAGAGACGTCGTATCTTAGAAAATGAAGAACGTCAGTCAGCATTCATATGGAGTTCGGGTGGTTATTCACATAGATGAAGTGGTGTTGATAAGAAATAAATACAGTCATCGATTACCTAGAGCTAACCAAGTTTGAGTATTTGGTTTATAATTTACTAATCAGAGAGCAGGCAACCTTTTACCTGTCATACAAACATTATTGGCTCTTGGCACCACAATTAATACACACGAAGGGGCAGTCTGCCATAGTTAATCAGCTCTGGGTTACGTTCATCAGAGACCAAGTCACTCCATAGATTTCACTAATCCTGTTACCGCAGCACATACTAATTACATCGAACGATTTCGGCGGAAAAAAATTAAAAACAGAATACATACATCAAATGGATCAAAAGGTTAAGCTTTTAGTGGTCATCTTATTGAATATATGTACAGAGATTAGTTTTACCTTACTATTGACACTCCTGAACAAAACCTGCAGGTATTTTTAAGTTACATGAGGGAAAAATACCCTGTATACTGATTATTATTATTATTTCCTATAAATATGTGCCACTTTCGGTGGGTGGTGACTAGCACTGGAATCCAAGATTTGCATTTCGTCCTACCTGGGACTCGTCACTGGATGCGCCTGCATTCCCCAGTGATACGATGGTGTCCCCACTAAGGCTGGGACTCAGAACTCATCGTTTTAGACGCCAAAGCATTATCCACTAGACCACTTGGACCACGAGAGCCACCTCTTGTTCAACCGGTTTCACTTAATATTCATTTTTAATTCAATTTTGTTTCTTCCATTCATTTCCGTCCAATCAGTCACTATAACTTGTTTACTCTTCCTATTTTTATTTTAGCCTCCACAGTGCAGAAAACACTATCCGACTACATACATCACCAACAGCTTTACTTGGAACAGATCCATCAGGACAGGTGACAAAAAACCATATGAATTCTATGAATGAACAAACAACATTTGCCAACAGACTATTTACGAACTACTATCCAACTAATAATTCGTCAAAATTCATTAACTATGCAGTAAACAGTACTTCATTGATTAATGCCAATGGATCAGTTGACCGTAGTAATGACAATAATAATATTTCCTTATCAAATTCAAGATATCCCAGTGCTTCAACCCACGTGCAAATTTCATTTCCGAATAACCCGGTTATTTCAAGAAGAGATTCACTAATAAATCCTATGACCAGTGGATATATATACAGGAATTTAGAGCATATTACATAATTAAGAAAGATTTGAATAAAATAAAGCGAAGATTACATATAACACAATAAATACATTGTAACATTGATAATGTAAAGTGAAATATTTATAAATATAAACGGAGAGATGTGTTTTTCTCTGTTTTAAAAACGAAGATGGTGATGCCCTCTTTAGCATCTGTATACAGAGCTAAAGACATGGAAGCCAGTGATATTTTTGAGTCTTTGTGATTGTTTATCGGCTCTTTAACATATCTAACTATTTAACTAATTATGTTGAACTATTAACAGTCTAATGTATGTATATGAATAAATATATACTCAACAATATTTAAAATGTTGCCTGATAAACACCATCTTGACTTTAACTGTTCTCCAACTATATGAGGCTTCGTAATCTCTTTTATGCTAAATAACTTGTACATTGATCAAATGAATCTGCATATTCGAAGTTTTATCAGTTATTTTAAATCTCTTGTTTTTATTCTAGCTGAATTTTTGTTTTACTTTCTTTATGCGTCGGTAGCACAGTGGTTAGGACTCTCACCGACCATGCACATGGTCCGGGGTTCGATCCCCTGCCGACGCATACCCGATATCTATGGTCGGCCTGTAAAATTTGGGCTACCGATATCCATGCTGAAAATGCCATACTTGTACTGAAAATACAGTGTGGCATCAAGCTGTAATCAAAAATAATAAATAAAAATTTATCATTGGCTATTTAACTCAAATTATTAGAAAATGGCAAAAGTACAGAAAGTTTTTCATACGCTTGCACAATACTACCTAAAAGTATAACTAATTAAGGATTAAGACATTTAAGCTGTGAAGAAAATAAAAGACGAATTCTGCGAAGAAAATTTTCTTTATCGATGAAATCATCTTCAGAGGCTGTACAGTCATATTTATACTTACCAAAAATGTTTAGTAGTCTATTATTGAGTAATAGGGGTTGACATAATTGATATAATTACTCAGAAGTTGCTTTAGAAGTAAAAAATAAAAGTTGTAAATTACGTGGTACTCAATGGCGCAAAGTTAGAAATTTGATAAGGTTAAAATTGCTATTGAGTGAGAATAAAGGTAAATGAGTGCCAATTTAACAAGTGTGAAGAGGGTGTGAAAATGTACAAAAGGATCATATGAGAGTAATAATAGTGAATTAATTATTAAAGTAAAAGTAAACTAAAAGTAAAATTAAAAATTTACAGGGAACGACTAGTGAAGAGGTTAAGACCATGGTAGAATAAGAGACTGGACAAACGTTTTCTGTATACAGAGTTCGGGGTTGTATTGACAAATTGCCAACGCTTCGGCCATTCACAAATGCCGAAACCTGACGCCCTTTGTGCCATTTGGCCTGATCTTGTAGATGATCTTGAAAGACGATTCTAGTGAAGCTATGTGGCCTGAGTTCACCAAGTGCTGGAGAATTGAACTAGTAATTGTCTTGCATTGTCATTTTGCTAACCATGCCGGATAATGTTCAGAGATGCATTTGGAAAGTGTGCGCTTTGTGCGGCCAATATATAACTATATATATACTAGCTATAACACACATTTAAGCTGACCAGTGCACTTAAGTTATATCGACATTATGTAGAAATGAGACAGTTGCTTCAACAGTTTAATTTGACATACTGTTAAGTCAGTTCAACTACTTCAACAGTGACATGTTCATAGCAATCACAATTTGAACCGATAGTCAAATGACTAGAACAAACCTGAGTATGGCATTCCCCGCCCCATGATTATTATACCTCGAAATGTTATTCTGTTATTATTACTTCCTTGATTTCTGAGAGGAACATAGCGCTTCAGCAGCAAATCTCTCTTTCACTTTGCTCTTTCTTCAGTCTTTTTAAGCTGGCTGTACTATCCCTCATAGTGCTTTCATTTTCTCTCAGACGATCTCATTTTTCGCCATCGGGCTAAGCTCAACTGATCGCTTCTCATTTGGCTTCCAATCGAGGGCCTTACGTGTGACGTCACTTAATAGTTTCTTCAGTGTATTTCCAATATATCTTTATTTCCCTTCTACATATTTATCAGGAATAGGTTCTTAGTTGGTTCAATGCCGGAATTCACTGCCATTTACCATTTCCAATCGATATTAAGCTAACAAAGGCAGCTATTGATGATAGTCTGCAATAACCTACTGAAAATGCCTTTGGTGATGCTTGTGCCAAGTGTTTGAATGACATAGAGGTAGTGATTTGACATTGATGTTGAATATCTTGGTCTTGTTCCTTATGTTAAGTGTAAAAGATTGTCACACTGATTCCAGATTAATGAAGTTCTGTCTTACTTTCTTGCTCCTGCATTTCACATCACCATCCGTGTCTCCTGTAGCTGGAACGATGCTGCCAGGGTCAAGTAAGCGAAAGAGATGAGCACATGAAAATATGGTTGTAAATTTTTCAGATTGTTGATACCCTCTTTACAGCACTAGTGTAATTACTTTTATGGAAAATCTGAGTATAACTATAACAGGTTTGTAACTATTTATCGCCTTTTCGTTATCATACTGAAGTAAGTACTGGAAGACAAATTCCTTCATAATGAATCTCACAAGTGCCGATGGATGGCAAGTGTACATAGAAGATGAAAGATATTACCGCCTACATATCATATTAAATTACTAACAGAAGAGAGAGACAGACAAATTTTCCCTTCCATACTGTGTGTCTTGACTTTACAATCATGATACAACTCTGTGATTAAACTGTCAGGCTGCTAGACTCTGTCACTCTGCAAAGCTCAGAAGGATATCCGACAGTGGTGTCTAAAACTAAAAACGTAAAGATGAATATTCAGTAAGGTGAATCTACCAGTATAAGACAGATGGCATAAATTACCTAAGCAAATATGTGAAGAAATACACAAAAATGTTAAGCTAGAAAGTCCCTTACGACATAGTTTTAAAAGTCGAACTAATACTAGCTTTGTTACCAATGTAATTGCAACAGTGTTTATGTCCTGCTAATTTCTGTTTCATTTTGGATTTAAAGCTTCAGTTAGAAATTGTTACAGCATTTAGAGTCTGGTGAAGCGTTAACTCAGTTTTATATATTCATTTGATCTAAATTTGATCACGAATTGATGTCAATTGAGGAACCAGTGAAAACCAAGGAGTACTGGACATGCTTTTTCTATTTCTGAACTCTTCAGCAGTACCCACACACCAGGGTTCGAACCCGAAAACATCTGATTACAAGACCTGCTCGTAGACCATTCAGCTACTGAGGCCGAGTTCAATGGCCTATGACTTATAATTTCACCGATGACATTAGCTACCAGTTGAACCATATATCGTGGATAAAGAGAATTGGCTGATCTAAGAGTTCGTCTTGTAACCGGAAGGTCCTTGGTCAGAACTTTTGTGAATGAGTGTTGTTGAAAAAATCTAAACTAAAACCAAACATATGTTTACTACTCCTTGGTTTTCCAGTGGTTCTCCGATTGACCAAACCTGTGCCCAATGAAGTCCTTGTAAACCAGCTGATACGCTAAAAATGCGGCAGTAATGATAATGATGATAATAATGATAACAATTTGTAGAATCTTAATTTCAATGCAATATTTATATTATAAAATATTAAGTAATCCCAGTGTCCACAAAGTGAAAACGTGGTGTTTTGAACATTTATTTGTTTAAGTCATACCTTCTTCATCAAAAGAGCTCAGATTTTATTGAAAAACAAATATAATGACATGATAAAGTTGAGCCTGTCAGATTAAATGTATTTGTACAAATATTCACTGACGAAATGACTTTCAAACATATTTATTTCATGTTCTATTTTACCCTATTTTCTCAATAAATCCAAGTAATTCTGCTGAGGACATTTGATATTTACAGAAGGAAGTTCAAAAAACCTTGTATTCATTTTCAAAACTCTGGATTAATTTCAAACAACCTCAGAATCATCCGATCAATCTTGAATTTTAAATTGTCTCAAGGTACTTGAAATATCTATGTAGTAATTTAATTCAGATTATGGGATTTGTGGGAATTCGGATTAGTTTGAATTACTAGATTTCCCCACCAATCAACATCAGTTAGAGAAATCACTGAAAGCCAAAGAGTAATAGCCAGCTATTTTGTCATAGTTTGGGGCTCTTCAGCAGTGCACACCTACGATTACACTTAGGATCGAATACAGGACCTTCAGGTTACGAGATCAAGCTCACTGACCATTTCAGTGGTATCCACTTATGAACATAAGACGTTTTATCACGGAATGTATTTGCTGATAAGTCAAGTTTCTATACAGTATAATCCACTAGATTCAAGATGAATTTCCAAGAGTTCTTGTAGGAACTTATGGCTAAAAAGAGGATCAAAATATTGGAGCGATATCGCTTTCACTGAGATAATTTAGAAATCAGTTGTCATCAGATGAGTGTATCGGGGGTCTAGTGGTAGAGTGTTCGCCAACCACGCCAAAAGTGGTTCGCGGTTCGCCCACCGACCGACTGATGCACTCCTAAACTTCACTTAGCTGCTAATAAGTCCAGTAAACAAGGAAGGACGTGAGTCTAGTGACCCCACCATGTAGAACACTACCTCTGCTACAGAAACCTCAAAGCTCAAGCTTAAAGCCAAATGTGTCACTGGGAATGCGAAGGAACTAAATAATGATAAACGTTTCTCTGTCTTTAAGGAATTTCTAGTTGTTTCTAATTCATAGTGAAGTGTGTTTTAAAATCAATGAAATTCAAGTAAAAAATTAAAACTCTCTGATGTCTTACTCAAGAGTTTAAACACTAACGAAGCCAAATTCTCAAATTTCATCAAAACATAGCCTTCAGACATATTTTTCAAAACACTTCAAAATCTCAGCCTCTTATTTATAGAATTTAAATTTCTAATATAAACAATGTAATCCACAACTCTTATATTTTTTACTAAATTCACAGTCGGAGACGTTCAATGTTCATTCCTTGTTTACATTAGTTGACCAGTGTAGTTTTTCTTCTCTTATTTTTTTTTTCTGATAGCATGACATCTACGGCATTAAATCAAGTTAGCTTAACTAAGTCGGTAGATTGCATGAGGCTTGTCGAGGCTTTCTGACTCACGTCAATGGGATTAAAGTTGTGCGTGTGTGTGTGTGTAAGTGTATGTTCGTTTGGCTTTTACTAAACTATAGCCATATTATTAATATTTTAGCCTGACATATTCGACATTTCATAAGAATGTTTACTCAAGTTTTGTTCCATTTTTCCACTGGTGTATATTTATTATCCAGTACTTGTATCATTATAAGACCGATAGTTAGATTGTAAGCAAACATTGTGAGCAAATATTACTGCCGACGGTAATGAGGAATATTGTTTAGACTGCTTAATAATGCCGAGCAATATTTACACAGAAGGTGTTTTCTGTTTTCATTCTGAAACTATCTATTTGTTAAATAAATAAAGAAATACCTTTCTGTCACTGGTATTACTCTGGAATATTGATAAAACGATCGTGTTTTTTTCTGCTCACAATATTTGGCAGGGGAATAAGTGTTTAATTTAA